GTTGCTATTGCAGATTTGTCCACTTGCTATCCGGCCCCAATAGACTTACGGGAAGTTCTCCTATACTACGATCTGCTGTTTGAATGCTTTCTTACTGAGATATATAGCTCAGGCTCAGGAATGATTGAAGACGGCTGACGGCTTAACTGCATGAGTCACTGGTAGGCGACGTAGTTGGAGTGAGTTTAGGCTGGCAGCGACGGGTTTTTCTCTCGAAGAACGGGAGATAGGTTTTGCCGAACAAACAGCGCCCAAACTGTTGCGGCCCGGAGGGCCTTGCGGGGTAGAGTGCTGGCGAGCGGCGTGGAGTGCTGGGTAGTGAGGCGGGGATGGTTTACCTCCCCGAACTTTCTGGAGGACAATCGCATCTTCTTCTGCTTCTGACTACCACCTTCGTGGACTCTACTGCATCCTCATCGTCGTCCGTACGTCAGCACAAACGACGGTAGCAAATACGCAAGACGTAGCAGTCTGAACACCCCTCTGTCAACGATATGGTGCCATAGCTGACGCACCAAGTCTTCCAGCTTCCAGTACTCCCTTTCTGTCGCCAAATATCGGTCTGTCAGAGTATCGTCCTGGCAGTCCGTCTTTGTCGTTTTCGTCGAGTGTCTCCGCACGTGTACAGGATTTGGGCGATACAGTAACCATGCTGTAAGCACGAGTGAATCTTCAGACTTGCGAAACAGTAACATATTGAACACTCGTCGCGACAGGATCAGGGGAGATAATCCGTCCGGTCCACTGGCAGGAATAAACTGGTCGTTTCCACCAAGCTTGTACCGGTATTGGGTGTTGTTTCCCGCAGTGTGAGCACGTACCAGTCCTTGTGGTGTTCCGAAGAGTACACATGGGTGTGGGTCGTGACGCATTGCGCACATTGGAGCGGCGGTCCTCAGCGGCGTGCAACAGCTATCTGTGTGTGGTCCACAAGCGTGGTGAGATTACCTCCGATTGTGGAACAACGAAGCGGCGCCGGCTCCGGCTGCAGGCTTGCGACGTACGGCCGCAGCGCCAGAGACAAGGCGAACAGTCCGCGTGCGATCAGACCAAAACACCTGGTTTGCCAAGAACAAAAGCGCGAACGCCCGAGCGCACGTGTATCAAGTATGGTCCCGGCTTGCCCTTCGCTTAGTAACTACCCTACAACGCCGTCACGGAGCAAAGCGCAACCTATAACATCCAAGATCACCAAACCTGAATTCCACTAGCGTATCTTCCTTTCATCAACACTACGACAAGCCCACACCCTGCGTATAACTATGCCGTCGTATCTCACTGGCAACCGATCTGCCACACTGTCGATGTCGCCCCCTGTCGTAACCGTTCTCTGGACGAAGAAGAAGTAACCATTCAGCTTTGCGCAAACGGTAACCCACTCTGCCACAGCGAGGATGAGGAGATGTGCGACGCAATCGATGTCCTGTATGCCGCCGCTACGCGCCAGGCTGAACTTTTCGCCGACGAACTCACCAGATGATTCCTCTCCGCAGAGAGCCACAGTTGGGAGAGCTCTGCAACGTTACGCGCGACAGGTACGACCGCGCCGAAAACCCCGATCTGTCCAAAGCTCTCACCAAAGGAGATATGAGCAACAACAAGTGGGTGTTCCGCCAGCAAATGGTAAGCATAAGGGGATCGCGGTCCCTACGTTGGTTCTTGTGCAACGCGAACTGTATAAGCGTGGACACGCTTCCTAGGCCGAGGGTTTCTTGGTCGCGATTTGTCGCACAATCCAGCAACGCGTGCATTGTAGACCTCGTCGGGCACATGCTCAACGACGGTGAGAGACGAATTTACCTTCTCTTCACACGTAAAGGTCAAGCTGAGATCAGCCCTTCATAGACGTCCATTCACACAACCTGCAACCAGTGAGCTTAAAAGATCGGCGATTTCTCATATGGCAATAAACTCGGAACTGGCTGTGAAAAAATGTCACTGATCAAGTCGAAATTTATTGAGCATAGTCGATGCAATCGGGGGTGCTCGGAAGTACGTATGGAAGGCAGAGAAATAGAATGAATGCAGGAGAATCTAGCTTGCACAACCCCTCGCTGCGGTCCCCATTCTCTGAGGCAGTGCACAAGGTGACGGTTGGTCTAGCAATTGCAATTACGGCAGCTGTTGAGGGTTGGAATGAATCATTGGGGTTTTGGAGATCTTTTTGCGTATAGAGTTGGTTGGTTGATTTTTTTTTTAGAGAAGCAGCAACTCGCTCTTACCACCACCGCTGACGCTTCATCATCGCCTCATTACCTGGCGCAACCGCCCCGCCCATCTGTAGGTCCGTGAGGCCTAAGGGTAGTCTGCTTCCCTCCTACATATATGTCATGGCCGCAAGCGGCCGAATACATTATGATTAAAACAAAACTAAAAAAAGCCGCAACCGCCCAGCCCGCGTTCAACCTCATTACACACATGCAAGCAAAGCAGAATTCAGCAAATTCCAACAGTAGGCAATGCGATCGACGCCGTGAAACGTGATTGCGGCAAGCTGCAACGCCTGGCGGAATCGCAAGCCCGCCATCAGTAAGGATGTAGTGACAATCTGTTTGTTGCAAACAACGGCAGCTTGAGAGGTTTTCCGTCGTCGTTCTTGCAGTGGCGAGGCTTCCTTCCCCTCCCGAATGAACGCATGGTCTCCATCTCGCAGTTGATTTCGTTGTCTTCGGGCTGTCTATGCAGCTTCTCAAAGCGGCACTCTCTCCCATCAGCCTCCCGAGATAGGGTGTCATTATTCGAAGATGATATCGAATCGAAATGAAGTTGAACCCGGAGTTATCGACGATGATCGGTTCGATGCGAACCAAGGAGTGCGAATCAGCCTTGCCGAATTGTTGCTCTGCAAACGCGATGCAGTCAAGTCGGAGAAGGTCGATCATGCTCGATTGTATGTGTTCCAACTCGGCCTTTATCAAGCCCTCCAAACAGCAGCACATGTCGTCCGTCTGGGCCTGTCTGGAAGGCTCCGATGCGTCCTGCATCTCTTGATCATCGTCGTTGTCCATTCCGTCTCCTCTCTCTGCTTTCAGGCGGGCCCTCAGCAGATGATTTAAGATCAGCCTAGGTATCGGGCCGAATATCGGCATCAGTTGAGAGATGGTCAAGAGTTGATTTGGCTGTATGTACCGCATGTTTGTCGTTAACTCCACCTTGACAACGAAGAGGGGCATAACGTACTCGGTGCACACCATTTCGGCCCAGTTCCAGACGGCCATTTACCGGGACACTGCGGAGTGATTCTTTACCAGTGGCGTGACGTTATTCGTTTTCGGGGACGACGAACCAGTTGTGCTGACCGATACACGCGGCGAGATCCAGAGGCTTGCGGTCGCACAGCGCCCTAATGTCCGGATCCATCATGACGACATCACGCAGCGAATCGATGATCTTTGCCCCCAAGGCGGTCAAAAAGAATGTGGCAGACACCACATTTGTGCTCGCTATCTTCGGGTGCGTATTGGAAGACTGTCTGCAGACCATTCCACAGACGTTCCACAAGCGTCAAAGACAGGAACCAGGTCTTCCCTATCCCAGAGTGAACAGTGATGATGGCCGCGCTCTCGAGAAAGTTACATGGCTGGTTGTTGCTGGCTTCTGAGCAGGCGTTATGTTCTTTCGGTTGAGAACCGGTGCCTCTTCATACGCGCCAGCCGCGTTGTCGGCGTCTACGATGGCCGCAGCGACGGCGGACAAATCGCATTCCATCAAGATGAGATTGCACGAAGTCGCTCCTCATTGTCGCCGTCCATTTCCAGCTGTCCATCAATGGAGCGAGAAAGTTTGCAAGCCCTTCGTCGACAAAAAACAAATGACGTTGAAAGGGGGTTGAACCTGTGACGGAAACGCTCAGAAAACTGGAGGGGTGCGGGGGATGGCGATGGTTGGCGCGCAACACGCTGCTAGACACATGCTTCACTGCAGAGCACTCGGTCAAATGCAGCGTAATCTGCGACTCAAATACGCACTTTGGGCGATTCACTCACCACAGTGGTCGAGGAGTTTGACAATGCCGGTCGCTTCGCGTTGACTTTGGCAGTTTCGGTGTCCTCACCACGGAGCCTCTTGGACGGGCGACGCGACAAAGGCTGTCCCGGCGCATGTCCACATCGTCTCGCAGTGCAGCAACCCGAAGACTCACCTCTGCTTGGCAGGACCGCAGGTGTCGCGACCAGGCTCCGCATGCGGTGCCTTTGCATCCTCATCGTATGTGTTTGCTGCAGTGTGCTGGCGCGCATGCGTCACTGCGTCGGGCTATTGCCTCGTGCAGCTGTCGTTTCTTGGTCCTGGTTGCCGACGGGTTATCAGCGTAGTCGTGCCTAGCAAAGTCGTCCATTCGTGTGTTTGAATCGTTTGTAGTCGCGAATGGCACACCGGCTATGCCCACATCGCGTGATGGGCGGCGAACGTAGCGTGAGAGCGCTGCTGCTACATCCTTGTGCGAGAAATGTTTCCACAATGGCGCACCACAGTCATCCACCCTACGTACGCTCTGTACAGAACGGCATTGACTTCAGCCTGCTCGTAGCAGCTACTGCGATAATCCTTCGCCAGTTGCTTCCGTTGATGCGCTCGGTTGGCCTGGATGTCCGGCTCCTCCAGCGTCCCCAGACTATTGGAGGTGTTAGGTGCTCGGATGCGGTCAACTACGTTCGTGGAAATTTGACTTTCCTTCGAGAAAGAACCGAGATTGTCAAGTGCTGCTGTTTTGCAGCGACATACAACTGTCGATCGTGGTGCGTCCGGCCGGGTCTTTGAGCAATTCTTACGCTAGGAACTGGTGGAAGCCGGCAAATCGTCCAACTTCTTACTCTAGATTGAGTAAAGGCAACAACGCCTTTTCATCAATCAGGTAGCGCAGCCTACGTGCCATCATAAGGTCGCCTCGGTTATTGGTGCGCAGATTGGCAACATGCAGCTTGTTGGCATTTGCATCGTCAATTGCCGTTACATCGTGAGAAGCAAATGAGTCACGAAATAAAAAAAATAGAAAAACATATTGTGCGCACCGGGACTCGAACCCGGATTTACCTATCGGACTTCAGCATCCTTGGTTGGAACTGAAGGGCGGTACGCTCTACCATTGGGCTATGCATACTTGGGATGATATTGTTAACTTTCGAAACCTCATGTTGAACTCAGGTTCGCTGTCACCCTTCGGTCCCCAGTATGGCATCTTCTCCCGCTTCTTCATGACTGAATGCTATATTGACTATATTATCCCACACACCATATGACGCAGTGCCTCGACCTCCACATTTTACAAATCCTCAAAATCAACTTTATGGCTATTGTAGATGCTCAGGTGATGACAACATAGTAGTAGTTGCCGAAGTTTACCTCTATAGCACCGGCAGCGCAATCATTGATACACGGCGGATAGCACCAACTGATCACATACTAACTGCCAAGTGTTTGATACAACGCCTGTATTATGTGCATTGGAGAGAGGTATGATTGTTTAGAACTCCTTTGGATCTCGGCTTGTGCTGCCCTCAGAACTGCACGATTGACTTTTCCACCGCATGTCTGTCACAATTCTCCACACATACCGGGACGCGGCGATTGGAACTGCGACTAGGACAACTCGTGGAGCAGATGACCCCGCAGCGCAATCAGAGATCGTCGACCTGTCAGCACGGATGTTGTAGCAACCACAGATGAAGTGCCTGCACTGCCGAGGCCCGACAGTTGAATGTAATCCCGGCCTGAGAGCAGGCCAAGCGCCGAACACGGCGGCGATAATCGTAGAAGTATTGAAGTTGCAGGAGTGGCGTTCACGGGTTGCTGTTCGATGCCGATGTGGTCTTGCCCAAGTTACCGTCAACATGGGATTCGTTTCATCCGCGACCGTCTCAGCAGTGACCGAAGGTTGGGCGGCCGCATCTTTGACTAATCGACTTTGGAGGTTGACTGGAGTCTTTTTCGTCTTGGGTGCATATTGATGCCATTTGATATGCTCATCATAGAATAGACCTCGCGCATCCGTATTGACATGCAGTTTCGTCTGATCACAATGTGGATGCGCGTGAAAATGGCTGCTCTCACCTCGGCGTCGACCTCCTCAGCAGCGGCCTTTTCTCCAGCAATTATTTCCTGGTCCAGTCAGTTTTCCTTCTATGCGCGGTCTCCTTGAGCCTCTGGCCTGGCAATATCAGGCGGACTTGGAATTTCTCAGATTGTTATTTTGTATTGCGTGGCGTAGTTGAAGGCGACCCACGGCTTCAGACGACCCTATCCCCCTATGAGCAAAAGTGGGTCAAACGCAATTGCTTCTCCTTATTAAAGACCCACCGCTGATTCCCTATACCCCTCGTTCCCACTTGTAAGCGGTGGCTCCCACCTACACCTCCCAATGACACAAGCCATCTATAATGTTACAGATTGACACCCACGATTTAATAAGCGGCATACATGCCGGAGCTCTTGTCAACCAGTGGGCCACATATTCCACCTTCGCCGCCTGCATCGCCAGCCGGAAGCGTGTTGTACCCGTCCGCTTCCAAGGGGGTGTGGGCATGGAATGGATATCGAGTGGCGAGTGCTGAACGTTCGGTGGGAAGGGTAGCGCGGACAGCGCTTCGGTTGCTTTTGCACCTCATTTGAGAGGATTATCTACGGGTAGGTTATTTATTCATTTATTTCCTCAGTCATACGCTGACCGAGGGCTCTAAGGCTCATGCAGCACAAAAAAAATCTAGATCCTGACCTTGTGGTTTCAACCACCTATCGAGGTCCCCGATGTCCTAAATCCCAGCAACCGCCGTCGTATGGCAAAGGCGAAAACAGCTCCTTGCGACGTCCTCAGGTAATGAGATCGGATGGTACCTTGACGGTGTTGCACTTGGCATCGTCTGTTCTCTGACCAAAAAAAAGAGCGTTAAGCAACAAGGTAAGCTGCGCCTTGATGGCATCCTACTTATACCCCCTGCGAATCTCCGTCTCCGCCAAAAACTCCAGAATGATGTTAGAGCAACAACATTGAGTCACGCGTCTCAACGCCCAACGCCTGCACCTTCGAAAACAAGAGACTGAGTGTCTGTTTCGTCCCCTAGTCGCACGACCAGCCAATGTCTCCTTGGTTGTGATCCGCCTGAGATGCGTTCCAATGAGGGCGTGGCTGGATGTCAAGCGCAGGAACCGCAGCTCGACGCTTATGGAGCTTTTTGAGAGCCTTTCAGATACCTCAAGGTTGCTCCGGCACGTAGAATCGGCTTCCCGATAGCGTCGTGTGGGTCCACTTTCTGGCGATCCGACACCGTGTTTCGGTGGCTAGGCAGTTGATGTTGGGCAAGGAAGCTCATTCAACGGTTTAGCATCGATATTGCACCATCGTCGCATCGGGGGGATGCTGCTATCGTGGCTGCTTAATCCGTGGCCGCGTCAGTGTGAATTCCACTGTGATTTGGGATCAACCGGTATTCAATGTCAATTCTGCAGCGGTGGAGTTGATGTTCAGCAAAGAAAGGAACGCGAACTAATAGCGGACTGGGACCTTCGGCGTCATTGCAGAGCGGTTCAAGCGCGCCCTGAGTGTTGTTCTTCTTTGCGCCGAGATAGAATTCCTGACCCTCAAACCGTCTGTTCGCATTCCGGAATAGTGCTGCCCCCATTCGGCGATTTACCAGTTGAGAACCGTTTGTCCAAACAACGTCAACCGTACATATTTCAGATCAACCAACGCAGGGTTCGTAAACGCGTCGGACAGCTGCCGCTGTTGTTGATATTTGTCTTTTGCGCGTAGACACTGCGGCGAGGGTGCTAGCCAGTGTCCATGCTTGAAACCGTTCCTGCCGATCGCGGACATGTGCTTTTGCGGGTCGTGATCCTGTTTCCGGCATGAGGAGGCCACTGTGTTTGGCGCGGAAACAGCCGGAAGCTGGTCGAGATTGCTGTTTGAGGACGTTTTGCAGGTTTCCATCCGACTCTTATCGCGGCCATGGGTTGCCACGGACTGAGATTCTGCGTTTTGAAGGTTGGCTGCACTGATCAGTGAGCGGCCTTGGAGACGGAACAGTCCCACAATGCGGGCCTGCTGTTGGCGAGCTTTAGTCGTCCACTTGTGGCGGGGTTGGCTGCGTGTGAGTTTGTCGTGCAACCAAACACCCGGCCAGCGCGCTGCCTTCCCGTTGTATTCTATGTGGTGTTTGCGAACCCAAATATTGACGTCGACGCCTCTATGGTGTAGTTGGCGTTTGGAGAAGAGGACAGCTGCGGTTTTGTCCTCTTCAAAGCGCAGGGTGTTGTGTTCCGCCCAGAAAGAAACCTCGACTGCAGATCTGTAGAGTTGCGTAGTTACTCGATCGATGGCTACTCCTGACACAACTAACGTAACGTCGTCTACATAAGGGAACCCAATTGCTCCGTCAACTTCAGTCTCAATGAAGGCAGCAAGATTGGCGATTAAGATTCGGGAGAGAACTGGGGAGACCGGAGAACCTTGAGACAAGCAAGTCTGGGTTTCTAGGGCTTTTCCTGACTCGCCACGCACTATGCTTTCCACCTTACAGTCGTATATAACGCTGTCTGTCCACCCAACGAGCATTTTGTCCCTTACCCGTCTTGTTTGAACGGCAGACACGGTTTACTGAAGGAAGGCGCCGTTGATATGCATCCTTGAAGCGGCAGTGGCAACATTTCTCCGTTCCCAGGCTTTGTCCACTGTGCTCCGGGTGGCGGCCAGAGTTTGACATCACCGTCGACCTCAAGTATACTGCCATGTCGTCGGTGATGGGACAGACCTTCGGACGGATTGTCAGGCGGTGGAATGCTGGCGCGTCCACTGCCGCCGGTGTATCGCGGCAGCCTCCGTCGGCGAAACGGTTCCCTCTGCAGTTGGCTGCTGTCGCCTGTGGGAGCAGGCACTTCCGCTGGTGCAGGTACACTGCATCGCGCGGCACTCAGGTTTCACGGTGAGGATATACACTTGGTATCGGAAGCGGTGCCGCACTCGTCGCGAAGGTGGCCCCCTCAATTTCATCAGGTATAATCGCCTATCTCATCGGAGGTTACATTCCACTCCTAGTGATGGCCACAAGCCGATGATAGCCGAGCCATCAGCAATTCTCAAGCCAGCTCGGCTTCTCGGAACATTGGCTTGTCAAGCCGAGCGGAGCCTGGGCAGCTAGACCCTTGGCTGAGACGTCGCTATGGAAAGGTTTCTTCACCTTTCTCTCTCCGTTGGCGGAATCCCTGCTTTTTGTGGAATTGTTATTGATGCCGTGAAGGTCTCAGTCAGCGTGGCTCTTGGGGTGTAGGCAGTACAACCGCACTGATGGAATTCCACGGAATGTTCTCGATCAACCCGCCTTGGACACGCACTTTGCATCTCGGCGCGGCGACGGGGTCTCTCTCTACATACCTAGCTAGCTATAATTGACGGCTCCGCTCATCTCGAGCCGGCTCGGCTTACGTCCATAACTATTCACTCCCACCACCAACACCGGCGACGCTCTGAACTCCTCCGCCTGAAATTATACTCAATCTTCTCGTCCTGCTGCCGCACGAAAACAGCCACAACATCGCCCCAGCACTCCGCCGCATCCTCCATGCCAGCACAGCCGTTGGTGTGGTCTGGTTTCGTTCAACAGCCAATCTGCGATGTTGCTGTGGACCCACCGCGATAATCCTTGGGTGGAGAAGCATACTCAGGTCCCTGCGGTGGGGTTGGCCGCTTTCAAACGGGCGCCTGCGGTGCGGCCCCGAGGCGCAACATACGGAGATGTTGAATCACCGCCTCAAGGAGGCTTTGCTAGGATAATATGGTAGGTTCAAGAGCAGCAGATATTTGCAAGGTTATCTTGAACCTGGGGACAGTCCCATTCTACCGGTAGAGAATTTCCAGGATTACATTTGAGGACCTGTTTTCTGACGAGTATTTGTTGTAGGTTCGTCCAAGGGGGTACGTTTTTGGCGGGTGCCACGGGGGGCGGCAGAGCGATTCCCGGGTCATACAGTATCGGGGTGGACTTGTAAATGTACAACCAGGAACTACTTTCATTTCCTTCCAAGATGTGGCTTACGATGTTTATTGATCAAATATGCAGTTCCCCGAAAGATCAACAGTGCCCAGCTTTTCGCGCGCCTCGCATCTGCCAG